CAGGATGTCCTCCATGAAAAGAACTATTCTGAGCCAGGCAGCAGCCGCTGCTCTTGGCACGGCCCCGCAGCCCAGCACAGGGTGATGAACGGCACTTTTCAGTGCTGCTGCAACCAGCTGGGGGGGCTCAGGGGTGGTGGGGGGTGGGCAGCTCTGTGGGCATCCCAATGGCATGGCTCAGTCCCTCTGCAACCACTTCCCATAGGACCAGGCTCCTCTGCATCTCACTGCTATGGGGCTGGGGTGGTAGGAGCTGACAGCTGGATGTGATCCCCAAAGGAGAAAGTGGCTGTTCTCAGCACTGGGTACTGAGATTTGGTGTTTTGCAGCCTGGGGAGGTGGAGAAGGAGAGCAGCCCTTTGTCACCCTATAGAGACAGATGCACCACTCCATGAGAACCGATGCCTGTTCCGAGCTGGCCCACGACACGATGCACTTTTGCCCTGGGCACAGGCATGGTAAATAGCCTTGGTGCTGTGCTCATGGCAAACCCACGCTGTTTTATGGCCGCCTTTCAGCCCACGTGCGGCTGAGCCTCTGCTCCCTCCCGGCCTTTGCACCCCATGGCTGCACCCCTGCTGTCCCAGCACCCATGGCACACTGCTGCCGTCCCCCTGCTACAGACACAGCCCTGCTGAACAACCCCTGCTGTTCCCAGGCTGGTTTTCCTCTCTTGTTCCAGTTCCTAAGGATGCATCCATATGTCCTGCTAATGTGCCCACCAGCACAACAGAAGTCACCCTACTGAAGGCCGCCTCTGCCCTTCAACCAGTTCTGCAGCACTGCAGCCACATGTGAGCAAAACCAACGCCGCAGCCCACCAAAACTGGGGGACAGCCACGGGTTCAGCCCTGCGACCACCACCCAGTGCAGAAAGGATGGGGCTCTACCCCTGCACCCTGCAGCTGTGGGGCAGGATGGGGCCCTTCCTCCTTTCGAGCCGCACACCGCAACCCTGACAGCAACTCTTGCACTTTCACTTTGTGCCTCAAGCTGGGATTTGTCCAAACGCCATCTCTTTGCCCCAATCCCTCCCCTGGGGACACTGCATGGCTGGGGGGAGGACACATAGGAGGTTTGTTCTCAGAGCCTCCCAAAAGCACACACCCCAGAGCAAAGCATGGCAAAACCAACACGGATCTTCCCAGAGACTGTAAATACATAACGGCGAAGGAGAGGGGAAAAAAAAAAAAGTAAAAGAAAAGTACTGGGAGTGGGGGTAAAAAGTCCTCCATGCATCGAAATGAGCTGAAAAGAAGTCCAAGGAGCTGAGCCAGTCCTGACCCCGCAGTCCCATAGCACACGGGACACGGCCGGGTTCCAGCGCAGCACCGCTTCCTCCAGCTGCTTTCACTACCAAAAGCACAGCAGCCCCAAAAGTCCCAGCAAGCCCAGCACATCTTGAATCCATTTGCAACAACAATGTCGAAATCGCAGCTCGACAGCTCTCTCCGGTTTCCTTGACAGTAAATCCCAGCGGCGGCCGCATTGCTCCCAGTGCCGGAGCCAATGGGTCAGGGCTCTGTGCGGTGACCCCAGCTGGCACAGCGGGGCTGACACGAGGACGTTGGCACAGCACTGCTTGCAGTGCATCAGCCTCGTGTTCGGGGGCCCCGCGTGTGCCAAACCACTCAGCACTACGAGCCAACAAAGTGTGTGGAGCAGAGGGAGAGTGGTGTGGGCAGTGGGGCACCCCTAACTGTGGGGCAGCATCACCCCTTTTGGGGTCTTGCACCCTCCTGAAGGGACTATCAGACCTGAGCCCTCTGTAAGGGATCACCATCTTTTTGGGGTCCTGATCCTAAGGGATCACACCAGTGGATGGAGCACAGTGCACAGGATAGGGGTGCTAGGATCCCCCCAAAGAGAACAGAGAACTCAGAAGGGGGAGTGCCCAGGGGTTAAGAGGTTCTGGGACCCTCAGTGATAAGAACAGGAGGTGCCCAGAGGTTACGAGGTGCTGGGATACGGAGCACACACTGCGAACAGGAAGAATTCTTCGGGAAAAGGGGACCCGAGATAAGGACGGGGGTGCTGGAAGGGCTCGGGGGGACCCCGCTCCGGACTGGGGCACAGCAGAGAAACGGCCGCCCCGCGCTCTCCTCCTCCACTTTCCCTTCGCAATCGCTTCCCGGAGCCGCCCGCCCCGTCCCGGTCCCGCTCCGCTCCGCGATTACCTGCACGAGAAAGCGTCCGGGGGCCGATCGCCCATGGTGGCACGGCACGGCACGGCTCAGGCAGGAAACCGATGCGAACCGCTCCGCATTTCCGCCGTGCGGAGGAACCGCGGGGCGCGGACCCCGGCCCCGGGGCGTTATGTAAAAGCGGCGCCGCGCGGCGGACCGAGGGCGGAGGCTGCGCGGGGGCGGAGCGGGAGCGGCACCCGCAGCTCCGCCGGGAGCTCCGCCGGGGCCCCGCCGCCCCGCAGCGGCCGTTCCGCGGGTGCGCAGCGCTCCGCGCCCCTCCCGGCATCTGATGGCGCAAACCGCGCGCGTTGGGTGCTTAGGATTCGGGGCGGTTTTGCAGGGGGAGAACGGGGTTCCGCAACACGGGGCCGTTCGGGGGATCTGAGAAATGGGAGCTCTGCGGCGGTGGCAGTGGGTGGGACGCTGTCCCGGAGCCCGTTTCCCAGCGGTTCCCTCTGCCTTTCGGCCGAGGAAGTCGGCGAACGGCACAGCAGGGCTGCAGCCGTCACCACCGCGGGGACAAATGGCCCTCGGGTCCCTCATCCCAAGGGCTTCAGTGGGTGCACGCAGTTGCCAAGTTTGGCCATCCCAGTGCCATCCCACTGCTGCGCTGGTGCCATCCCAGTGTCAGCCAGGTGTCATCCCAGTGGCATCCTGATGCCATGCCAGCACAACTCCGGTGCCACCCTGTCCCACAGGAGAAGGGACACCGTGACAGATCTGTGTTCCTGCAGGCTGTGGGATCTGCGAAGACGACAAACTTCCACTGCACCTTTTTTCCAGGAGAGGGACTGCTCTGTGGTCTGTCCCATTGCCACCCACCTGTGTCAGCGGCAGATGCAGGACAAGATCTTACCTTGAGAGCTGTTCCGCAGTTCCCCCCAGCATAATGGCACTCCTGGCTCTGAGCACAGCCCCGGGCTGCCCTCCTTCCCGGGCAGCCGTCCCAGCTGTGCTTTTCCTGGTGACCTTCAGCTATTTCACCAGCACCCTCTGCGCGTTCTCAGCCCCTGCAGCCTGAGATTTCTCTTTTGTTTTGCTTCCTGTACGGATTTTTTTGTACTCCCTGACTACCGATTCAGTGCACCGACTTCTGCTTTTTCTGTTTGTTTGCTCACCCGCACCCGTGGCCGCTTCCCTTCTGCTGTGTGCTGGGCTCAGCCTTTAACTCTTGCAGTTTTCCCCCCCGGTAAAAGGCTGCAGCAGCCTTCCCTTTCTCTTTAACTCATTCATATTCTGGACGTGCCCAGTGCTTTGGGAATGGCACAGCTGCATCTCTCAGGGCTGGGGCACACAGTGACCTCTGCGGGATGAGATGAGGTCCTCACACTGCACACATTTGGGGAATTAGTGTGGTGATGGGGAGGTCCTAACATTTCAGGTTGGGTTTTGCTTATTCCTTCAGAGGGCAGAGTGGGTGGTGGGAAGGGTGGCGGTGGCGATCGTGGTGATGGTGGTCGTGGTGAGTGTCATGGTTGTGATGGTAGTGATGGGGATGGAGAAGGCGGTGAGGGTGATGGGGGTGATGGCAGAGAGAGAGAGAGAACGGTGATGGGAGCGATGCTGGTGATGGCAGTAGTGGTGAGGGTGATGGTGATGCTGATGATGGTAGAGCTGCCCTGCAGCCCCCTCGGTGCTGCCTGCTGTAGACCCATTGCCCCATTGCAGCCCCATAGCAGCCCCATAGCAGCCCCACAGGCGGACTCCTGGCGCCCCCTCCTGGCAGCCCCGCACAGCGCCGGCCCCCCGCCCCCCGGAGCACCCCCCTTTACCCCCAGTGACTCAGAGCTCCCGGCTCAGCGCGCTCCCTGCGGCCGTCAGCTACCACGGGAGCAGGGATCGAGGCGGTGTCCCAAAGGGTTCCCAGCAGCCCCTTCTCCCCTCTCAGCCCCTTTTCCTCTGCGTTTTCCCAACTTCCAGCTCGCCCCGCATTTCCCAGCTCGTCCCGTGCGATCTGGATGGGGAAACTGAGGCACGGGATCCGATTCCTTTGCCGTGAGGACTCCGCAAGGACAACGGGTCAATGTCACGGGGCTGCCCAGAAGAGGAAGTGTCGGAGCGTGCGGCAAAAAGCGGCCGTCCCGAGGGAGACCCAACAGGAAGCAAAACTCACGGGGAATTTCGCTGTTGGTTTTTGAGGAATTGGAACGATTCTCCAAAAGAGAGGGGAGGAACAACTCCACGACTCCTGCTAACGAGGCTGCAGGGAGCAGTCGAGGCTCCCCACAGCTCCCCTCCACTCTAATAAAGCTCTGCCTTCTCCCCGTGGCTCTCCCTCCTCCAGATGTGGCTGTGCCAATGAGCACTGCGTGGCCGGGCCGTGGGCAGAGCCCCCTGTGAAAGGGGGAAGATAAAACCTGAGTGGTTTTAGTGCTGCTTCAATCCCTTTTTGTAGACCGAAAGAGAAAGTCCACAGGTGACAGAGGAACTCTTTGGTGAATTGAAAACCTTTTGCCCCTGCAGCAGCGGTTGCCTGCAGTGGGATTTCTTGGCTCTCTGCAAAGCAAAACCCAACAGTGCTTCTACAAAATGTGCACATCGCTGAGGAGGACAAAGAACCTGGAGGAAATGGAGAGCAAGAGAAAAATGCAGTGTTGTGCAGCTGTGGTGAGCACTGAGCTCTCATCTTTTTTGCCCATCCATGCATCCATAAGAATCATAAAACTGTTTGAGTCGGAAAGAACCCCCAAAGGCCGTCTGCTCCCACTGCCTGCAGTGCACAGGGACACCCACAGCTCCAGCAGTGCTCACAGCCCCCTCCCCTGAGCGTGGGTATCTGCAGGGATGGAGCACCGCCATCTCTCTGGGTACCCTGTGCCAGAGCAGAGGGACAGGAGCACCTCCCCCACCCTGCTGCCCACACTGGGCAGCAGCCCAGGATATGTTGGTTTCAGGGCTGCGAGGGCACGCTGCTGGCTCACATCCAGCTGCCATCCACCTGTACCCACATGTTCGTTTGGGCACAGCTGCGTTCAATCCTTTCATCCTCCAGTTTGTACTGATTGCAGCGGTTGCCACGACCCAGGTGCAGCCCTCGCGCTTGGATTTGTTCAACTTGATGAGGTTCACCTGGGCCCGCTGCTCAGCCTATCTAGAGCTGTCTGTACTCATCCATCCATCCAGCTGGGACCCCTGGGTCGGGCCGGGGTCTCCGAGGGGCGGCGGCGGCGGCGGCAGCAGCGGCAGCAGCGTGCGGGGAGGAGCCGGGTGGCAGCGCCCCGCCCGAGGGGCGGCCCGAGCCGAGCCGGGGTGCGGAAAGCCGAGGACAAAAGGTGCCCGGGGGATGGGAGCGGGGGCGGCCCCGAGCGGGACCGGGGTGGGACTCGAGCGGGGCCGAAGCGGAGCGGGACCGTGCGGTGCTGGGGAATCGGCGGTGGGGTTCGGTCGGGGCGGTCCCGCTGACGGCTGGGGCGCTCTCCCCGCGCGCAAATGTCCCCCTCCCAAAAGGCTTTGGGATCCCGATTGGTGCCCCGGAGCTGGAAGCCCTCTCCTGGCTCCTTTTGTCCTGCGATGTGGCTCAGTAGGAACATAATGGTCATCCTCGCACGTGTCCGTCTTGTGCTGGGCAGGCAGCGGTGACGCGCTGAAATTCGTCATTTCGGGGCAGAGAGAGTGTGGGCAGCGGGGTGCCGGCCCCGTGCCAGCAGCCGTCCCTGCATCCAGTGCTTCCGTGTCCCCCAAGGTCACCAACAGCCGGAGCCCAGCGATAGAGCCGTGCCCCACAGCTCAGGTGGGTGGAAGGAACGGGACGGTGAGGGCACCGCTGTGTGGGGACACGGGGAGGGATGGCCTGGCCCTGTGCGACGCTGTCCCGTGAGGGTCTCATGGGCCGGGCTGCGGGGAGGAGCGCCGCCGCAAGGCTACCTGCGCTGTGTGATGTGGGACAGCGGGGGGGGGAGGCACCGGCCCCAAGTGGGGCTTCTCTATGGGGAAACACCGCCTGGGGTGCGGAGCCCTCCCTGGGAGCACCCGACCTGCAGCACTGCATTGTGCCGGGGTGAGCCCGCCCGCGGTGTTTGTTCTCCGTCTCCATTTCCTGGGTGCCACCAGGAACAAGGAGCCGGCGGGCGGCTGCAGCACTGCGCACACACCGCCCGCACCTCTCCCTGCAGCCATGAAGCTGAACGAGCGCAGTTTGGTGTTCTATGCCACCTGCGACTCCCCGGCCGACAACGCTGGATTCCTCTACAAGCGCGGCGAGCGGCACACGGCGTACCACCGCCGCTGGTTCGTGCTCAAGGGCAACATGCTCTTCTACTTCGAGGAGCGTGAGAGCCGTGAGCCGGTGGGCGTCATCGTGCTGGAGGGCTGCACCGTGGAGCTCTGCGACTCGGCTGAGGAATTTGCCTTTGCCATCCGCTTCAGCGGCACCAAATCGCGCACCTACGTGCTGGCGGCCGACAGCCAGGCGGCCATGGAGGCGTGGGTGAAGGCGCTGTCGAGAGCCAGCTTTGACTACATGCGGCTGGTGGTGCGGGAGCTGGAGAAGCAGCTGGAGGAGATGCGGTGGGGCTGCCGGCACGGCCCGGCCTGCTGCAAGGCACGGCCTTTGGGGATGGAGCACTCCCTGCCGGCTCTGCCCACGGTTCCTCCAAAGGAGAACGGCTGCGCGGTGTGGAACAATGTGCCCAGCATGGACCAGCTGCATGATGGTTGTGATGGTGACACCAACCCACGGCCACCTCCGCTGCCTCCGCGCCGGCGAGCATCCAGCGGTGACACCGGGGTGGCTGAGATCTCGACGTTCTGCCGGTTGCACGAGCGTTATGGAAGGGAGGTGGCCCAGCTGCGGCAGGACTGGCAGCACCGGCAGTGCCAGCACCGGCCCTGAGAGGCCCTGCGGGCACAGAGTGTCCTCAGTACAATCTCAGTCCCCTCTACAGGACTCACAGCTCCTGGGGATCAAGCACTGAGCTGGGTGCGCTGAGACCTCCAGGTGCAAGGATGCTGGGGGGAGTTTGGATGGGTGTTGCACTGCCAGAGAGCTGGAACTGCCTTCACCTCCTCAAGGCCAGCTGAGCCCCATGGCATCCCTCTGCTCCAAGAGGATGTGGTTTGTAGAACAAACACACTTCCCCAGCAGCACAGTGCCAAGCACAGCAGCCACCATGGTCTCATGTTTGTGTGCTGCTGGCACCCAGCAGGATCCTGGTCCTCCAGTTCACCATACGGTGGAGTTGCCTCCACCCAACCACATCCTCCAGGGCTCCAGAACAGATATTTTTGGGGCTGGTGTCACCCCTGGGCTGGCTCACAAAGGGGAAGTGTCGCAGCAATGAAAAGGAACGTGTGTGTCAGCAGCAGAGGGAGCAGAGTGATTCATGTGCACAAGCAGAGCGTTGCTGCTATTGGAGTCTTGGGGTCTCGTGCAGACATTTCTCTGGTTCGTATCCATTCTGCTGGCCCAAGCACTGTGTGATATCCCAGCTGGTGCAGTGACTGCTGTAGTCAGCCATCACACCAGCTCTTACTTCACTAAAGTTGTTGAATCCTTCCCCTCCAAATCTTGGAGCAGGAGGAATCCTGTGTTGGGCCAAGTGGCCGCATCTCCATTTGACTTCTCAGAACTGGCTCAAGCTCTTTTTCTACAATAAATATTGCTTCAGGAATTCCCTTCTGGCCTCCTTCTCATTTGCACATTTGGCTCATTTGGGAAAGCAGGTCCTGAAGCACTCCTAAGGGATGAGTTTGGGGTTTGGGGTGGAATTAGGGATGGAATGGGATGGTATGTTTTACTCAGGGTGCATCAGGGCACTGTGCTGGTCCCATGTAGGGACAGCATAGCGATTGCTTTTGGAGTGGCAGAAATCACAAAGCAGAGTCCAGAAGGCCAGATCTGTGTGGTTGTGCCTTGGAAGCTGTTCTGGGGAGGACAGGGATGAAGCAGTGAGCAGTCCTCACTGCTATCCACGAGTACATAAATGACTGTAGCATTGCTAAGAGCAGAAGTGTCATCGGATGGAAGTCAGATGGTCTGCAAACAAGCTGCAGAATCATCTTTTCCCCAGTAATCTGAGCCAAATATTTCATTAGCTCCCATCCTCATTAGAGCACACCACTACTAAAACCTGACTCATGGGCAGCACCCCGTGGTGCCCCTTGGTCCCCATTCTTCTGCCAAGGCTGTGAGTCACTGAGGCAGGACAGTTATACCCATTCCCTCGCTGGGGCTGGTGGTAGTCTGACACAGGGATGGGGGCCCTGCTGTCACATAGGTGGCACTGCCATCCTGCACGGCATTCTGGCTTGCAGAGGGCAGCTGAGGTGACGTCTCCCTGCATCCAGATGGAGAATGAAGCCGCTGCAGTTTCCATGGCAGCTGGCCGAGCTTTTCAAGGTGTTCAGATATTCATTAAAAATAAATCCTTCCCAACATGTTAGTCGACAAACAAGCTTAAACAGATACGCAACATATGGATTTATTAATTCATCACACACCAACTTCCCTGCCTCGTGGTGGTAGCTACAAAATCACTGGGCGATGCCGAGCTCTGTATGCTCAGGAGGCTCCCAATGGAAGCCAAAGTGGACACAACCTGAAACCAAGCACCAGGGAATGTGCTGCCATGGGGCAAGCCTGCACCCTGAGCTGGACCGACCCCATGAACACCCCTCTTTTTCCCAATGGAGTGACGTTGATGGCTGCAAGAGCCCTAAAACCCAATGCAAGGATGAAACTCGGTGTGAACCACCGCCGCAAGTCTCAGTTCCTGCGAAGAAACACACCGCGACACCAGGAGTCTTATCCAACTTCTGTATTTAGTGGCTCTTTACAGAACTTGTTCCTTCCAAAATTGTTAACAAAGTTCATCGATCTCATAGAAACTCTTGAAGTACAGTACATGAGCCTATAACAAAACGTGATCAGTATGTCCCACTAGCTTTTAGTACAACAGGATTTCCATGTTCCAAAGACTACCCTAAGTGCTTCATCAAATCCCGTTCCACTAAAGCTAACACAAGCACACTACGGAGAACAGTCGGCAATGGGTACGCCTCGACCTTCGGCAGCGCGGTGGCAGCAGGGTGACCTCAGGGAGCTCGTGCCAGTGCAGAGCCGAGCTTGCTTTTGGAGAGCCCAATAGCTTTGCTTTTGAAATTGCTCCCTGACTACCACCAGAATATAAAAATACCTTCTATTCTGATAAAAATGTCTACAGTGGAAAACAAGTCAATGCATAGCCTCGGAGCTGGCATCGAGCTCTCCCCCAAAGCCCCGTGGTGCCTCTCATCAGGTGACAGATGGTGGAGGGGATGGCCAGAGCGCGGCACGCCGCATTCTTGGCGCTTGCAAAATGCATTGAGAAACGGAATGGACAGGAAACAGAACAGGACACAATCCACCCTCCTCTTCTAAAGGCATTTTGTTGTTGGGGCAGTGAGATGGGAACACCCCAGGGACGTGATTTGGGTGTTGGAGTGCCACCACACCACTGCTGTGGCTTTGCACTAGGTCAGTAGCAAGGCAGCACTGTGCTTTGCCCAACTTAGCCCCAAGCACAGTGCAGAGCAGGAGCATGGCTTGACACTCCATGTCCCAGCTTACTGAGACATGCTGTAGTAGCCACTGCTTGGGGACACAGCCATGACAATCGGGTGTGGTCATGGCAGGGGACATGGCCATGACAATGGGACACGGCCGCAGAAAGAGAGCATGGCCATGTCAAGGGGATGCTCCCCCTGCCCACATCCCAAAGCCTCCAAACCAAAAAAGTGCTTCAGCCTCCCAAGCTGCACATGGTGCAGGGAGAACCCCGAGCAGGGCACGTCCTGGCTTTTTGGAGTCCCTAGGCACCAGTGATTTCATTTTCCATATGACAGTAGAGCATGGGGACCACGAATGCCATCCCCAGCCAGCTGGAGCTGCCCCAGGTGTCAAAACCAGGTACCTCTTCCCATCACCACCACAATCAGAGACAGCTTGCTTCATTTGGGTCTGTTTTGCCTTTCCCCCCCTTTTCCAGGTGCTGTCATTGCTCAGGGCCAGCACCAGCTGCTGACTCGAGGGAGTGCGAGGGACTGCATTTGTACCATGCTACGTCTTGTTCCAGAAGGCTATTGCAGACATTTCTACAACATATACAACTGCACGTGACATTCTGTGTTACAAAGGTTTCAAAAACATACCACCAGAACTAAGTACATACTCGATGGCGTCAAGGTTTCTGATTTAGAGTCTTCATGGACTATAACACAGTCTCTGGATGGGGCAGAAGCGATGCAGTGTCTTACAGACAGATGTGGAAAACTGCTATGCAAAAGTTTATTAAATTTGGTCAGTCTCATAGTGCTTCTTGATGGCTTTGCTCAGTAAGTCTTTTCTGTGGGTTTTTTTGTTTGTTTGTTTTTAATCTCATCCAGTGGCAAACTACAAGACTTCAGTGTACATTTAATGACACGACTGCTACATCATCTTGATTTTATAGCTATCTTTAATATCAAAGCAGCTTAAGCTGTTAATAAATTCCAAAGTATCCTTTTATTAAAATATCTAAAAGAGGTCTATAAATATTTTTCTTTTTCTTTTTTAAAATCGTTCCCAGTTTTTCACATTGAAAACAAAGCTGGGGCGGCTTCGTGGACGCCTTTGCAGGGTCCACCTCTCGGTGCGCACTGAGTTTAACAAAATATAGAGATGTGTGTGTCTGGAAGGCAGCTCAGAACTCCCACTCGAGGACCTCCTCGCGGTTGGCAGCCCGCTCCAGGCGGTGGATGATGTTGTTGAGGTTGGCCATCTTCTCATGACGTCGCTGGACGCTGGTGCTGAGCCGGGGACACGGGGCTGGTGGCAGTGCCGGTGACACCGGCCCGGCAGAGGATGGCCCTGGTGAAGCTGAACCAGCAAGGCCAGGTGAGGAGGCAGCGGAAGGCGAGCTGGGGGAAACCTCCAGGCTACAGCGGGATGAGTTGGCCGATGACTGCGAGCCGCCAGGGTCAGGATGGAGTGGTGGTGGTGGTGGTGGAGGACCTCCGGAGGCCCTGGCTCGGCCTCCCCGCCGCGGGAGGCCGCCGGTGCTGGGGGCAGCGGCACGGGGGGCTCCTCCTCGCTCCTCCTGTGGGGGCCCAGTGCTTTCTGCTGTCCCGGCTGGGCTGCGCGAGTCCCGCCGGCGGCTCCAGCTGCCCACCTCTCCCTGCTCCTCTTTCACCTTCACCTCGCCAGTGCAAGGGTGCTCGCCCCCACCGAAAAGGGGTTTTCGGTCCTCAGTATCTGAGTCAGGGCTGTGTGGGGCCCTAGGCCTTGGGCCGGCTGCCCCACCGCTCTGCTCTGGGTCCGTGTCGTTGTCTTGCGTGCCTTCCACCAGCATCTCCCGTCGCATCCGTGACCTGTGGGGCACAAACACAGGGTGTGAGTGATCATAGCAGTTTGGAAAGACATCAACAGGCAGGAATTGTATTGAAGGCTTCAAACATAAAAACCCCAACTTGTCTTTCACAGAATGATAGAATCATAGAATCGTTAATGTTGGTAAAGAGCCCTAAGATTATCACACCCAAACCCAACCCACTCCCACCTTGAATCACAGAAATTACAGATTCACCAATGCTGGAAAAGACCTCCAAGATCATCCAGTCCAACTGCCCACCTACCACCAATATTTCCCCACTAAATCATGTCCCTTAGTACCACATCTAAATGTTTCTTGAACACCTCTAGGGAGAGTGACTCATCCATCTCTCTGGGCAGACCATTCCAGCACGTGACCACTCTTTTGTAGAAGAAATTTTTCTGACTATCTAACCTGAACTCCTGGTGCAACTTGAGACCATTACCCCTCATCGTTTGGGCTCTTTCCAGCTTGCAGTCTTCCAAACTCAAATACTTTTGTACATATTTTCCCCTACTACTTTTTTGTTTATTTTAGATATCAGTATTTAAAGACATATTTCAGGGTTGTTTTGTGCTGTTTCAGCAGCATCCATACCTATAGTTGTGGAACCAGTTGATGACGGTGTTGGTCTTGAGGTTGAGCTGGAAGGAGAGCAGCTCGATGGTCTGCTGGGAGGGGTAGGGTTCCAGCTGGTAGGCTTTTTTCAAGGCTTCCTTCTCCTCAGGAGCCAGCACCACCCGTGGCTTCTTGATCTGCAGAAGGCTGAGGTCCTGGGGCTGCAGGCCGGGACTGGCACACTCGGAGCGGGCACCAGGGGACTCGCTGTCTGAGCCGGCACTCATCAGCCCATACCGGCGCTTCAGGTAGGCTGCAGGAGAGGAGACAGAGCTGCGCGCCGCTCAGCCCCCTCCGCCCCGCTCATCCACTGCCACCCAACCCCTGTGCTCACCTTTTTTCTCCAGCTTCTTCATGTCACGCAGTTTTTCGACATTGTGAGGGTCGTTGAGCCAAAGTTGCATGCGGACAAAGGGCTCCCTCCCCTTCAGGCTCAGCTTGTGCCATGGCTTGGGCCTGGAGAGGAGATCGGACACCGAGCCCTGCGTCAGGCCCAGGATGCTCTCCCCAAACAGCCGCTGGCCTGGCAGAGGAGAAGCAGAGGTGGTTAGAGAGGGACAAGTCGCACCAGTGTCCAGCCAGCCATGTCCCAATCACCCTGCCACCCTGTCACCATGTCACTTCATCTGCATGTCAACCCACCACCCCATCACTCTATCACCCCACCAC